TCCTGAAGATGTTGAAGGCTGAACCTGGATGCTTTCCATGCAAAGGAAGTGCTCCAGCATAATGCTCAGTGCCCTCTACAACGCATTGGGGAAAAAATTTAGAGGCAGCTGTGGATGGGGCAGGTCCTTTTTTGTCATGTCTATGGCAGGTTTGCCTTAAGAGAAGCATAGGCCCTACCATGTCTCCGGTTGCCAGCTGTCTTACTGGCCCTGTTCCTGTGCCTTTACAAGGAGCATGACATAACAGAACTATCGCTGATGAAATGTCAACTCAGCACTTTTCTTATACAGAGCTAAAACAATGACAAATGAAACTTTTGCTACATTTCTGCTGTTAAAGACTGAAAAGCACCCCCCCCCCAAAAAAAGGCAAACTTAAGTGAGATGCAATGCAAAAAGCAGCCAAGAGCGTTCTCTCTCCCTTCATAGGCTTTATAGGCTTTATCACACAGAGGTTAAAGGAAAAGAAGACCTGTGTTCAGAGCTCCACTAGATGGCTTTAGGTGAAACAATCCTTCTAATGCTTCATAGGGCTATTCTGACAATAAAACGTAGAGAATTACAGATGCTGCCTTGAGCTCCATGGAAGAAAGGAGGGGCGAGATAGCCGCCCACAGATGGATGACAATAGCTACCTAGTCTGTATTGTAATCTGTTAAACACTTTGTAGTGGGTGTGGTGGTGACGAAACTTCCACAGGTGATTGGCTGAGCTGTCTTGACTTTAGAGAGAAGCACCAGGGCTGGCAGAAATGTCTCTGGGTCTCATTGGGCTAGCTTTTCTGACCTCAGCTGACAAATATTAAGCTCCATTGGCCGAACTGCTCTGATCCCATAAGGGCAGTTGAACAAACAGACAGGTCAAAGAAGGAAGGGACCAAGAAGACCCCAGGCTGGCTCTCTTCTGTGCCAGCTCGTTTACTGAAACCAGAGGGCCTAGTCTAGGTGTCCCACTTTCGAAGGCCACATAGCCGCCTACCAGAGAAAAGATTTCCTCAGCGCTGGCGCCCAGGCTATGCAAAGACATTCATCTGGCACCTACGCTTTCCTCAAGCCAAACTTTTTGGTGAAGGAGTTTTTAAAGTGAAATTCTCTCATATAACATTACTGCTTAATTTGAAATGTTTCTTAATGTGTTCTTTTTTTGCCAGTCACTTTTCTGAATTGCAGTGCAGAAAGGCAGAATAAAAATATAGTGAATAAATACAGCAAAGGAAAGAAGAGTTGGAAGAGGGAATGGGGCCAGACAAACTGAAAGTAAGCAAGAGTATCAGATGAAGAGGATTCAAAACTGGAAGACAAGATGGACGGGTGTGTGTGAATGGGAGGGAGAGATCTGGAGCTGCAGAAGAAAAGGATTACATATATTGATGTCAAATAACAAGACCAACTTGCTCACTGCTGGCCAATAGTTTATGCATTTTGAGTGTAAAGGTTAGTTTCAAGTCACAGTGCTTGTTCAGATAAGCACACAGCACAGGAAATCCATTTGAAAAGACTCCAGAGAGTTAAAATTCAAGGTTAGCTGTTCAAGGTGAAATCCTTGTCTTTTCATTGCTTAGCAGACTGCAAGACAAAGGAAAGCACAAATGGCCCACTGCAGACAGGAGAGTGTCCTCCGCCCTTAACCATAGTCCAGCACACTCCACAGGCTCTCATTCACTCCCACCCTCTCTCAGGCCTCCATCCTCTTTTCAGTGCTTGCCATGATGCAGTGTGGATTTGCTGAAGTTAATGCTAACATGGGTTATTCTCACAGTTTACAGTTTGCAAATATTAGGCTGGGTCCCACAAATGATTTCAGTACAGTTGTGGGGGCAATTTTTTTTCTGGTTTCCACACTCCTGCAACAGTCCTTCTATGCTGCCCCTGGTCCCCCAAGAGCATCATGGGAGGGGGGCATTTTGGACTGCAGCAAAAGGAGGGAGGCAGATAAGTCATGCTCCATGGATTCAATTCCTTCGGTTGGTAGAAATTTTTAGCAGGATCCAAGGTTTTGGTTTGAAAAAGGAAGCATGGTTCTGGTAAAACTTTGGGGCAGATAGATATTACACCATGGTTAACACCAAAAAGGGATGAGAATGAAAATTTGTGCAAGTGGCTGGGGGGTGGGGTAGAAATCCAATAAATAAATAAATATAATAAATAAATATACACCCCAACTCTTCATTATGGCTTAAAGACAGGGCACATTACATCTGTGCTAATAGTTTGGAGTTCAAAGGTGATCCATGGAATTCAGTAGGACTAATTTGGAAAAAGGTGCTTTCAGACTACAAAGCACTTTAAAAAACTTCCTTTTCTTTTTTTCTAAAAAACCACTCCTAAACATAGTAACATTTTTTTAAAAAAAACCAACACCAAAATACCTCCTATTTTTACTTTGATAATATGAATATTCAGCACATACTAAGTGTGCAATTTTAAAAAAAGAAACTACCACCATCCTTTCAGGTCACCTTTAACGACAATTATCAACCTTTTCTCACTGTGTCAGGCCAATTTCAACTGACAGGTTTAATGCCGAGTGGCTCAGAGCATTCTCTGATCATGTAGATATTCCCTGAGCCATTCAGCACAGCAGTGGTTGACACAAGAAACCTGACATCGGACAAGAAGTCTGAGGTTGGATTTAGAAAAACGTGAAACAGAATTGGGCAAACCAGGGCTCTAGGCACAGCTTGAAGTGAAAGATGCGGGCGGGGGGGAGCACAAGTAAGCATTACAGAACTCTCATTCTTCTCAGGAGGAAACTATGAAACGTTTCTTTCTTCCTCGGCCCCTGTTCTAGAATATTGAGGTACATGCCCTTGTATCAACCAAAAGGATACTCGCTGCTGCAAGTCTTTCCCTCAGGTTAATGACCTCAATCCTGCTGCCCAGTACACAATTTTCCCCTTGTGTACAAGGAAAATGGATATAGCTGGGCTTTTTGAAACACCAACCTAACTTTCCTTTTCCCTGTCACTCCTGAGCCTGGAGGACTACAAGACATGGACGCCTCATTTACCTCAAAACCATTCCTCACTAGGAAACACTAGCAGGCCTCCTCTTCCCCACCCTGCCATGGTAGAAGCAGGCATGACATCAAATGCAGAAATGCACAGATGTAATGGGTTGTATTGGGACTTGGGTTCAAATACACACAGTCATGGCAGCTCACCTAGCAGGCCAGGACCAGTTACAATCTCTTTGCTTAATCTACTGCACAGGACAGTTGGATAAACTGGCAACACTCTTGCCCATGCCACCAAGAGAAGGTGACAAATGCTGCGCTCTCTGTTCTTGAAGAAACAGAGTCTTGGCCAAGCTGAACAAGACATAAGGGGGTGGGGGGGAAACCCTATCCCTGCTACTAGATATTCTCTTCTAGGGATATCACATTCAGAGTATTAGATACAACTCCCAAACACAGGAGCAGGATTCTGAACAGCAATTGCAGATGCAGGAAAAAGAAAAACTAATGACTTCTTGTCCTAGATATTGAACAATTAAGCCTTTTGCAGACAGCATGGAAGGATGCATGACAGACAGTCTTGTACCAGGTGCAACAGCAAGCTGGTGTGTCAGAGCTTTGAATACAGATCAATGATGAGAAGCCACTTGGCACATCCAACACCACAGAAAATTGGTCATTCAATGGAACAAATCAGGAATGGCAATGCACAATAGAACACCATCTTTTGAAAAAGGAAGCCAGTAAAATAAATAAATAATAGAAGACTAATACCATATTTATTTGACTGTGCCTCTACTTTTTCCTTTAACAAAATACAAACACAACTGAGTTATGTCTCTCTGGCTTTAAATGCAACAGTGTGAAATAATCTAGCATCTGAGGTAATATAAAAAATAATTCAAAAATTCTACCCTCACATGAATTGCATACCCACTATTATTATTACGGATAAGTGTGCCAAGTACACGATATTACTTTAGGGCAAGGTGAAGTATCTATGGAAATAAAAAGGGTTGCCAACAGGCCTGGAGAAAAATGTCCATTTAATAGAGGTTAAGTGTATGGAAAAGGGCAGCTGAAGCTTTTCATGACATGAAAGTAAACAGGATCACCTGCTAAATAACATTCCATTACGCCTCTCTTCTAAGGACAAAACACATTTTTCCAGGCACTTGGCAACTCCAGAAACAACAGGGAAGGTTTCACGCATGCCTATGCTAGTTCCAGTGTAAACAAGTCAATTTCTGCTTGTGACGTCCTCCTTATTGGGGAGGAATAGTTTCACTTTAAAAGTTCTCTTTATTTTATTTAACGGGGTATATTCTGCTGCCACCAGGAAATTTTAAGGATTTCCAAACCTTTATGCTTTTACTTTTGCTCTTAATAGTTTGGTAGACCGAGTTTAAGGCTTACGAGGAACTATGTGGCCCTGGGAAGTATTTCATTCAGAGCTGGTATAAACTTGGATAAAAGAGGATTTATTGAAATAAATACTAAATAAGAGGGTGGTACAATGTAACTAGTAATGTGTAAATGATGAACAATTGCTTTGGTATCACACACAATCTTCTCCCTCACTGACAGGGATCTTTTCATGTAACTTTGTAACTCTTGTTTCTCAATGCCATATATGTTCACTGTTTCACTCCAGTTTGTTATGACACTCAGACTTTCCTTTAACTTTTCTTCACTTAAACTTTACTTTTACTTTTTCCTACACACTCAGCTTTCAGATCTCTTTCTCACTGAACAACCTCAGCTGTCCGCTTCTAACTGCTTCAACACAGAACTGCTTGTCTACATCAACTGTCAACTTGTAACCAAAACTCCTGACTGACTCACATACTCATCCATCCAGATTCACTTCCAAAACCCCTCCTCCTCTCTTTCAACCACCAATCATACCACATTTGCCTCTCTCAACCACTCTAGTCTATCTACCACAGCTATGCAACCACACTTTTAAAGATACACACACACACACAAGGAATCATTACACTGCTGTTTTAAAAATATCTTCTTATGCCATGTATAAAACATACCTGGTGATGTTGAACATTCCTTATATTGCAAGAAAAATTCTGATATAGATGAAATTTGTTGATGTCTTTTTCGTTGGCTTTTTTGGAGGTCACTTTTGACAAAGACGACTGAAGACAAACATATCGTTTTTGACATCTACATACATAAAAAACAGTGAACAGAAAGTATGTTTTCTCCAATATCCTAGGAATCACTGCATTATTAGCCTTCAACTAGAAGAAGTGTAAATGAACTGACTGTTTTAACAACTGCATGTTGTATTATAACAGCATCACAAAGACTTACAGAATTTAAAAGGCCTCCTTATACTACAGCAGCATCACAGGAAAAGACCAGATAGCCTACGCCTGGACTTGCTTCCCAGCTGTGTCCATTCCTGAATCCAAGCATGTTTCTAACCATGCTCTGTTGCGCCTTTCCTATTCAACATCTCACCATGACAGACTCCGGTTAATAAACCACCCACGTTTTTTAAGTTGATATCAAGGCACCATACAGAATTAATGCTTACTACAAACAAACTTACAACTTAAAACCTAGTACTTCCCTGACTCTTTTTGAGCATATAAATGCATGGGTAGCTCACAAAAGTATGGTCAATCCTCTGACCCTGAGATTTTGACCCCTCCAGGGCAACTAGTTGGCCACTGTGCAAGACAGGACACTGGATTAGATGGACCACTGGCCTGATCCAGCAGGCTCTTCATATGTTCTTATTCCTCATTCTAATTACTGCACACCCAACAGTCTTCTCATGCACATGGCTGCCATCATGCTGAGAGTCATAGCAGAGCCAGAATTGTGGACAAGGGGTGAGTTGCAGAACTCACCACGGGGATGCCATTTTCAATGGCAGCACCACAGGCACTGTAATGCAAACACAGTAAAAGGACACAGTGTATGTGTCAGCATATATGGAAAGAAAAAGGAAGTATGCTCTTCTAAGAAAAAAAAAAGTGGGCTGGTTTGCTTTGAGGGCATGGAGGGAATGTCTCTTCATGGTGGCCAAGAATGCAGAAGGTGAAAACCAGTAAAAGAAATATTCTTATATTTAAATCATAGCTGAACATTAAATCAAAGATCTGAAGGCAAATAAACTAATTGCACTACCCTTTGTTAAAAGAGCTGATTTGGGGAGCTCATCCATCCTGCTATGGGGTTTCTAAAATGTGACCTCAACAAACAGGTGAGCTGCACTAACAGTCTCCTTGCATCATTGCCGGGCAAAGCCCCCTTCAGTGTGCCCAGGAAAGAGAGACAAAAGTGTATCCATAAGAGCTGCAAAACAAGAACATCATGATCTGTAACAAAGACACTTACAAGGCTCTGATGAAATCCAGCGTATCTTTATCTTTAGCAACCATGTCAGCCAAGATGTGTTGAACTCCAGATTTTACTTCCTCAATAGTAGAGAGCCCTCAAAGAAAACAATTGACAACTGTGTTCATTTATTTGAGTTAAAATTTACAGCCCACCAACACAACCCCCATGGAACCCTCAGGGTAGCTGAAGTGTGGCTTACCAAAATTCAAGACGTTAAAAAGGTAATGGTTATCCAACAATAAATTCTTTATTACTGACAACTTTAGCCTAATGAGAAACATGATGGAGGGACAAAGCTAGCACCACAAGCTCCAGATCTCTGAACTCAGCAGAATGGGAAGTGGAGACAGAAGTGCTATCCTATTTATTCGACAATTTTTAATAGCAGGCCTAGCCAGACTTGATATGTTTATAAAGTTTGGACAAAGGACCTGGGAGACCCAGGTTTGAATCCCCACTCGTACCATGGAAACTCACTGGGTGACCTTGGGCCAGTCACACAGCCTAACCTACCTCACAGGGTTGTTGTGAGAATAAAATGGAGGCCAGAAGGATGTACACTGCTTTGGGTCCGCATTGGGGGAAAGGAGGGATAAAAATGTACTAAATTAATAAAAAATAAATATCCTGTTATTTCAGCCCCAACAGTTTGCAAAGAGGTGCCACTTAAATATAATGAATTTGCTAGACATTTGAACCACACTTCATAGGTACATGTTTAGATCTTGCTTCAACAAAATATCCAATTCCGTACCTTTAACAAACCTCTCTAAAATGAAATAGAACACTGTTCCAGGAAGAATCCTATAAGGATCAAGGCGTTTTATTGTCTAACATTGCCCCCTACAGATTCATCTATAATTACTGTAACAGATATAAAGTAAGATAACACAAAAATGTGATCTAACTCAGAATCAAGTGTGTTATTCAACTGGCAATTTTTATCTTCTTTTCAAAGTGCAATCAGCCTCTTGCTGCACCCACACATACACATGAAGCTGCCTTATGCTGAGTCAGCTTCTTTGTCTATCAAGGCCAGTGCTGCCTAGTCTGAGCGGCAATGACTCTCCAGGGTATCAGGTGGAGGTCTTTCTCATCACCTGCTGCCTGATCCTTTTACCTAGAGAGGCCAGGGATTGAACCTGGAGAATTTTTGCAAAGCAGGTGCTTTACAACTGAGGTACAGCCCCTTCAACAGCTACCCCACTCAGCCGCTCATATTATTAAACAAAACAGCCTCTACAGTTGAGGTAACGTCTTAACAGAAACTGTTCTCAACAAAACTCTCCATTTTAGAAGTCACTCATTAAGAGTAAAAAAATGTGTTCATAAACTGTGTGCCAACCTACTAAGCACAGAATGGAGGACCCAAACTATTCTTATGAATTATTGTTATCACACTTATTATACTACTAGGAATGTAACAAGTCATCCAAAACAGCTTTAAAACACCAGTCCATGCACAGAAACGTACACTGTGAAATTGTACAACTAAGCATTTTCTTTTCTAGAAAGTGTTAGGGCAGGTTTAGTTTCCATTTCCTGTACCCGCAAGTTAATTTGCAAAAACAACTAGTCAGTTGAAGAGTAAGCTTTTAATACTGATTTTTAAAAGGAATTTTCAAAGTAATTTGCTTCTGTCAAAGTCATTTCACTACATGAAGATGCATTTTAAGTAGCAGATGCTTCCACTGCAATAGATCTAAAAGAGCTTAGTTTTGGCTGGAAGTTCCCAGTTTTAATATAATAATAAATAGGTTTTATGTCTTGAGCAAGGTGAAAAGAGGAAGGCTGCCTCCAAGACAATTGTGTAACAATTACACAGATGTTAAGTAACAGAAGCATATATGAACTGGCCATTGATAGGTTGATGACATCCAGCTCCATTTTCCCTTTATACCTGAACCAGATGAATCAATAGATTTTCTGTACAGATGTCTAGAGGCAAATACATGCTGGATGAGGGTGGATAAAATGAATTCCAATCCACATGAGGTGATATTGGTCAGTAAGGTGTCTAAATGAGGGATTAAGGAGTCATGGTGTGGAACCATGGATCAATGGTTAAACATTTGCTTCATATACAAAACAAAACTCCCTCCTCAGGGATGCTGGTCCATCCCTTTCAATCACTGTCTTTTGCCAGTGGTTGAAGACATTTTTGTTTCATCTGGTATCCCCTCCTTCCTGCCCTATGTTTTAATTTTGGGGGGTCTGTGTTTTTATATATGCATTATACTCTTGGTTTTATAACGTTTTCTAATGTTCAGCTTTTAATAGTTAGTCCCCTTGGTGGCCCTGATTGAGCTGAAAGGTGGAATATAAATTCTGTAAATAAATAAAAATAAATGTATGCTACTCTAAGACCCTTGAAGGAAGAACAGTATACGCAGCCGATAAAGTATGCTACTGAACAAAGAACATGTATTATGGGTATTTGGCCTGAAGCCTAAATCCTGATGCAGTAAAACATTATCTGAAAAACCAATCCAGATGCAATTGTTATCCCTGGAGCTTACCTTCCACATTAGACTTGACATAAGAAAACAGGTTGAGTTCTCTAGGATTTCCAAGGAGTAAACTGGCTGCATGTTCTAATCCCAGCTGTCTGGCCCTCTGAGCCTTGGTGCCTTTACTTCCAGTTTTATACGGACCATACTAGGATAAATCACACACACACACAATATACACCAATAGAATGTATTAAAGTAAAAAATAGCAGAGAATGACAAATTGGCATGTATCCTACTGTTCCGCTGAGCAAAGCTTCCAGCACAAGGGGCCTTCCTTCCTCTCGTTTGTGGCTATTCCTCTCTCAAGCTGGAGGGAGGCTCCATAGCCTGAAGGAACTTCCTGCAGCTTATGACTGGATACATGGCAACGTTCTAGACTTTGTCACCTCCAATTTATTTTGCGTTACTTTACTTTTTCAGAAAGAGATAATATTTACACAGAGCATAAAAAGAACACCAGGTGATATTCTTTACACAGCACCAATATGTTAAAGGCACGCTAAAATACTTCATCTATGCCTGTACTGCTGCAGACAGGTGCGGGAGTCATGACCGTTGCTGAGTGGGGGAGGAAGGTGCCGGGCAGGTGGGTGCCTAGGAGAGTTGTCATCACTGTTGCCATGGGGGGAAGCTGCCAGGTGGGAGAGTTGTCGCCACTGCCATTGCTGGGGGACAGCAAGAGCTACTGACATCGTTGCTGTGAGAGTGAAGCTGCGAGCAGGCACTGCCATTGCTGTGTGGGAGGAAGTTGCAGGGCTGGGAGGACGAGATTTGGGTGAGCAAGCAGGGCTGCCCAGGGCAGGGTCGGTGGCCAATGAAGCTGCTGCCAGCCAGAAAAGAAGCCCAGCATGCAACCTGTCACCCAGGACCAGTGGCACGCACTCCCTCCCTCCCTCCCTCCCTCCCCAGCTATACTGTTCGTCCCCACCTCTGCCAGGGAAAAACTGGCAGGACCAGGAGGTGGCTACGGTGGTGGTTCTACTACTGTTTGCTGATGCTTCTTTTTGCTTCCTCAACACACACACATACACTCTCTGTCTCTCTCTCTCTCTGTCTCTCTCTGTCTCTGTCTCTCTCTGTCTCTGGCTGGGACTGGCAAAGTCTAGAAATATTTCCAGCTCCCCCCCCCCAACCTATGGCCACATTACCAAACACCTTTCTGATTTACCCTCTTTCTTCCCTAAGCCTGCCAGTGCAGGGGTGGGGGGGATATATCCTTTTGCTTTTCTGTAACAAGCAAACCAAAATTACCAAAGCCACTCCCACCTGCTCCTAGTAACTCTTCACATTTAAAAATAATTGGCTTCGGTCAGCACAGTGTTCACTTTTCACTTAGGAAGAAAGGCACTGGTAGAAGAGATGGGAGTTGGAAGGATATGTGTTAGAGTGGGAGGGGTGCAGGGGGGGCATTTCCCCATGAGCTTCTCAAGGGTCCCACTTGTTTTATGTATTGGTGCACCACCTCATAACCTTAAGGTGCTTTAGAAACTGAATAGAAAGCAAAGATATAATAATAAATCACAAACAATAAATAACAGAACAGCAAAGCCAACAGAACCAATATTTAAGAGGTCCTTCACAATGCCTAGGAACTTCATGACAAATATACAGGAATTCAGCAGACAAACAAATATAGACAGGAAAGTAGATGGTTGAAGAACACTAGAAGCACTTTGTAGATGTGCTTTAAGAAGAAATACTAACCACATGATCCAGTTCCTCCAAGGTTTTGCAGTTTAACAAAGCAGTTAAGAGATCTTCCGACAGCTTTCCTTCTTTCTTAAGTTTCTGTATTGAGCCATGGACCTTTTTGACAACAGTTCTAAAATAAAAGGGAATGGTGTCAGTTAAAATACCATCTATTCAGTTATAACACTTACAACTCCACTACTCCCAACTCTGTATGCAAAAACAGGCAGAGTTAGCAATGGTGGCACCTTGAAGATTAACAAAATAAACTACAGAATAAGCTTTTGTGAGGTTTATGCAAAGAGGGTAGTTAATAGAAATATGTATACAAAAACAGAAAAACAGAAGAAATCCCTGCAAGAGAATTATTACAAAGAAAGGTCAGAGGAAATTTCCAAGACAAAGGCAACGGATTCCAGACTAGATAAAAGCAAAGACATGCATAAAAGACTATGATTTTTTTGTAAAGCAACACACAGTGAGGGGGGAAAGCCTAACTTTAAATATATCTTGATGGGTCTGAATCGGCTAAGAAGGAACGAGATCTTGTGACTGGTGGTTATGCCACTGAAAATGTCAGCTTAGTGTGTGGCAACAGTGAAAAAGGCAAACCCCAGGGAAAGGGAATGAAAATAAGGTGGCCAATATTGGTTGCCCTTGTGTGACCTCATTTGGAATTCTATGTGCAGCTTTGGCTGCTGTATCTTGAAAAGGATACTGCAGAGCTGGGAAAAGTGCAGAAGAGGGTAAGCAGTATGATGAAGGGGCTGAATGCCTTTCCCATGAGGAAAGCTAAAGAATCTGGGACTAAAGACATCCATCAGTGGCTACAAAACACAGGGTCTAAAGGAACCCTCCACGCTCAGAAGCCATAAACCACTAAATACCAGTGTTGGGAGGCAACATCAGCCTTTCTGCCCTGTTAGTTGGCCTTCCATGACAATTGTTTGGTCACTGTGTGAAACAGGATGCTGGAACAGATGGACCACTGACCTGTTCCAGAAAGACTTTTGTGTTCTTATCAGTAGACTATTAAATTGGAGGTGTGTATGACTCCAAACTGTTAGTGAATTGCCAAAATAATAATAGCATACTTAGATCTGCTAGGAGGGAGAACTGCAGCAAGAAATGGCACTGAGTCAGATTGGTCACTGTGTGAAACAGGATGCTGGAACAGATGGACCACTGACCTGTTCCAGAAAGACTTTTGTGTTCTTATCAGTAGACTATTAAATTGGAGGTGTGTATGACTCCAAACTGTTAGTGAATTGCCAAAATAATAATAGCATACTTAGATCTGCTAGGAGGGAGAACTGCAGCAAGAAATGGCACTGAGTCAGAGAGGGTATACAGTCCAGTAAGATTCGCTTCTGGAAATGCTATGGGTTGAAATAGTGGGCCCAAAAGGAAACTTAACACTGGGAGTTCGTTATCGACCACCAGATCAAAAGATAGAGGAGGATTACAAAATGATGAATTAATTAAAGATAGCGGCTAGACAAAAAAACTGTGTCATAATAGGTGATTTAACTACCAACTACCACTGACTGGGTCAATATGTGTTCTAGTCGAGAAAAAG